ACCAGGGCACCAGTGCGATTTGGGTATTGGTCATCCAGCTCCACCTAGTCGACACAGTCTGGGAAGTCTTGAGTCAATGGTTCCCATTAGTCTCTATTGTGAAAACTGCTTTATAGATGCCGAGTTGGCATTTCTGCCTTTTGTCATGGCGGAATTCTTTCGTTTGCCACAGGTTTCACTGGAGAGAGAGCTCATTCATAAATCAGAAGGACACCTGTGTCTGTTTGAGAAAACAGAGCCAAGTGCCTTGGTAGAGTCAAGGAGGGCCGCCCAGCACACCCTTCTTGTGGGACTCCTATTTGGGGTCAGTTAGAAATTATCATCTTACCTCACAGTATTTCTGGGATATTTGCTGAAGAGACTAATATACACAAGGCCGCCCTGGATCATATTATGGAAATAGTCAACTAGAAACAACTGTCACATACTTTGCTGACCTACTTTTCATAGCACTTACTCTGTTTTTCTTAGTGCCCAAGGAACATTTCTGATGATGGGAGTTGAGATTACTTTACTCTAATGGTCCTTAGTTTTCAGCAGTGGTAGCTGGTAAAACTGGAATGAGACACTTGGAAATTCTTGGATGTTGTGTTGAATGTTTTTTATATATAAATAAAGACAGTCCTAGAGAATTATGTGGTATTTGCTGGGAATTGGCCCCACCCCCACCCCCCACCCCAGTGAAACTTGTACAGATGTGAGAGCTGAACCATAAAGAAGACTGGGCTCTGAAGAATTGATGCTTTCAAACTGTGGGGCTAGAGAAGGCTCTTAAAATTCCCTTGGACATTAAGGAGATCAAACCAGTCAATCCTAAAGGAAATCAACCCGGAATATTCACTGGAAGGACTGATGGTGACGCTGAGGCTCCCATACTCTGGCCACCTGATGCGAAGAGCCGAGTCATTGGGAAAGACCCTGATGCTGGGAAAGATTGAGGACAGGAGGTGAAGGGGTCGACAGAGGATCAGATGGTTGGATGGCATCACTGACTCAGCAAACATGAGTTTGAGCAAACTCTGGGAGATCGTGGAGTACAGGGAAGTCTGGTGTGCTGCAGTCCATGGGCTAGTAAACAGTTGGACACAACTTAGAGTCTGACAAGAACAAATGAAACAGACCAAAACCCAAAGAATAATTTTCTAAACCATTTATCTTATCTTCCAGTGGATGTTTTAAAAGGACCAACCTCTGAATGAGGAACCAAAGAGTATGAACAACAGAGGGTAGCCAGTCTCCTTCTGGATGCACTTACTTGAATAAAGAAATGATTTGCTCTAGGGCAGACATGTTCAGAAGAATCTATGTAAGGACATTGAAGTGAATGATACCTGTTGTTAGTCCTCGGATGATGTGCAGAGAAAGGACACAGTAAACAAGACAAACCATCCGCTCACTCTTCCTGCCAGTTCTTTTTGAAAGGCTCTAAAAAAGGTTTATCTTTGTTAGCTGCAGCTAATGGCATCTCTGAAAGACTCAGAAGCACCTTAAATATCCATGTAATTTGTGCCAAATTACACCCTTAAGTAACTTTATTAATGCACAGTAGCCATATAGAAAATAATGCAGATCTTAAACCACAGGTTGATAGGTTTTCATAAACTGAATATAGGCCAGCGTTGATAGCATCCAGACCCAGAAATGGAACACCGCCCGAGTGCAGAAGCCACATGCGCTTCCAGTCACTGTTACCTGCACCCTCCACCCCAAAGAGTAGCAACTGTCCTGGCTTCTAACATAGGTTAATTTTACACATTTTTAAGCTTTGTACAAGTTGAGTTATAGAGAATGCATTTGGGTTGGGCTTTTTGTATTCATTCACTCTGAATGTGAGATTCATCCATGTCATTGCACATGGTTGTAATCTGTTCGTTCTAGAAGCTGTATTGTGTGACTGCCACCGTTTTTCTGCTGTTGTTTTGGTGGACATTGTAGTTTATTTCTGGTATTGGTCTGTTAGGAGTACTGTTGCTTTGAATATTCATGTGCATGTTTTCTGCTGAACATTTGTACATGTCTGTTGGAAGAGAAGTTGCTGTGATAGGGCAGATGTACACTGAGGCTTGGTGAGTGAACACATTTATGCTCCACCAGGAGGGCCTGCAAGTTTCAGTTGCTCCATCTCCCTGCCAACACTTGTTTTTGTTCTTGTTTGAGCCACTCTGATGTCTATGGAGTATTAGTTGGTTTCCCTGATGACCAGGGACATTAAACTCCTTTTTATTTATTAACTATTGATTCTTGCTCATTTGTGAATTGTCATTAAGTCTTTACCTACTTTTTTTTTAAAGATTATCTGCCTTTTTGTAGTGATTTGTAGGCATTCTTTATATCTTCTGAGTAAAATCCTGCTTTAATTATTTTCACTTGTTTTTTTAACTGAGTCTACACTAATCCAACTCTTGAGTATAGAGTCCTTTGTTCTTTATAGAGCATTTTGATTTCTTTACAATACCAGTAGGTTCATCCATGTTGCTGTAAATGGCATTATTTTGGCTGAGTAATATTCCATTGTGTATATGTACCACATCTTTATCCATTCCTCTGTCAGTGGATATTTAGGTTGCTTCCATGTCTTGGCTGTTGTAAATACTGCTGCAGTGAACATTGGAGTGCGTGTGTTTTTTTCAAATTATTATTTTCTCTGGGTTTATGCCCAGGACTAGGATTGCTGGATCATATGGTAGTTCTGTTTTTATTTTTTTAAGGAACCTCCATACTGTACCAGTTTACATACTCACCAACAATGTAGGAGGGTTCCCTTTTCCCCACACCCTCGCTGGCATTTATTGTTTGTAGACTTTTTGATGATAGCCATTCTGACTGGTGTTAAGTGATACCTCATTGTAGTTTTGATTTGCATTCTCTAATAATTAGTGATGTTGAGGATCTTTTCATGTGCTTTTTGGCCATCTGTATGTCTTCTTTGAAGAAATGTCTAAATCTCCTGGCCGTTTTTTCATGGGGTTATTTGGGTTTTCTGATATTGAGCTGCATGAGCTATTTGTATGTGTAGGAGATTAATCCCTCATCAGTTGCTTCATTTGCACATCTTTTCTCCCATTCTGAGGGTTCTCTTTTTGTTATGTTTATGGTTTCCTTTGCTGTGCAAAAGCTTTTAAGTTTATTTAGATCCCTTTTATTTATTTTTGTTTTTATTTTCACTACTCTAGGAGGTAGATCAGAAAATATCTTGCTGCAGTTTATGTCAAAGAGTGTTCTGCCTATGTTTTCCTCTAAGAGTTTTATAGTGCCCGTCCTTACATTTAAGTCTTTAATCCATTTCGAATTTTTATGTATGGTGTTGGAGAAGGAAATGGCAACCCACTCCCATATCCTTGCCTGGAGAATCCCATGAACAGAGGAGCCTGGCAGGCTACAGTCCATAGGGTTGCAAAGAGTCAGACACAACTAAAGTGACTTAGCACATGGTGTTAGGGAATATTCTGACTTGGTTCTTTTATGAAAAAAAGTTCTCTTGGCAAAACTCTGTTAGCCTTTAACCTGCTTCATAGACGAGAGGAAGCTTTGTGAGTGATGAAATGTATATACCTTGCTCTGGATCATGGTTACCTAAGTACATACAATTGTGAAAACTCATAGAACTGCATGTTTGACATATGAGCATTTTATCATATATGAATTATTCCTCAATAAAAAGAGGTATATTTTTTAAAGAAATGCATGTATGTCTTGCCTTGAACTGTCTTGCCTTTATGAAATGTGACATAGAATTAGGTATGGCATCAGACACACTGGGTTCCAGTCCAGCTGCAGGACCATGGAAAAGTCACATAGCTTCTTTCCATTTCTACCTCTGCAAGTAAATATAATCTAAATCACAAGATGGCTATGAGAATTAAATGGAAAAATGATGTTAAAGTGTTTCACTCAGTACCTATCACTGGAAACTTCTCAATAAACTTAGCTATTTCTAAAAAAATGTTTTAAATAAATTGTAGGGCAGCTAAAAATGTGTACTGTTGTGCTTTACAAATGATATACAACTTAGGACAAAATTCCAACATCAGAAGGAAGCGCTGGAAAACAGTGAAGTTAAAGGCATAGGTATACTCAGTGGAGCAGCCTGTGGACACAGCTGGTAGCTATTACTTACTTGTGATTATTACAAGAAAATCTGGTACTTTCCGTGATCATACACAAATCTGTCATCGTCATGTCCTACTTCATCTTTTTATCCAGTGTCAAAAGGGAAAAGAAAGGCTGCTTGGAACAAGGACCAAAAGGAAAACAAGCCATGATTATTGGAGGTAGTCCGCTTCAGCTTTTTTAGAGGAAACTCCCATTTTCACCTTTCCAGAGGGCTCTATGGCAAATTATTTATTCAGCTTCAGGACTCATCTGAAGTTTAGATTCAGAATCAGTGGAGAAGGAAGAATGGAATTGAAATGTGTCTTGAACCTGTCTGCTTAATCCCTGCTCCCCGCTAAATCATCTTTCATCTCTCTCAGTCTGATCCACTTTTGAGAAAGAGAATCCATCAGGGCATCCCCTGGAGAGACCCTCCTCTCTTGTCCTCTTGGCTCTGCTTGGAGAGTCTTGAGAAGCTGGCCCACTGCACAGAGTTTCTCCTCCTTCTCTGGGGCTTTTCTGGCAGATCTGGCTGGCCTGAGACAACCCCTTTCCCAGGCTGTATGTCTTGCCTTGAACTGTCAAGGGGCCTTTGTGAAATGTGAGGAGTATTTTGAAAGAGTTAGATTTGGCATCAGACATACTGGGTTCCAGTCCAGCTGCAGGACCAACGGCTCCATCCTGGCTGTAATAACCCCCCGCAGTTATGACAATGAGCTAGTCAAGGGAAAATGAGATTTAAAGGACCCCTTTACCCCATCTGATGGCAGATTCTCTGTGTGCTGCTCAGAGAGCCCGATGGGCAGCTAATCAGCAAGCAGCTCATAGTTGTCTTTGGCTGGGTTGTCTTCAGCCCATCATCCCTTTTCCTCCGGCGGCCATCTGTGACATTCCTTTTCTTTCTGCAGAGACTTTCTGGGAGCTTGGCAACTGGACTCATTGTTCTGCCACGTGCGGCCACTTGGGAGCCCAAGTTCAGAGACCCCAGTGCCTGATGGCCAACGGGCAGGAAGTGAGCGAGGCCTTCTGTGACCAGCTCCGGAAGCCACGGGCTGCGTTCCAGCCCTGTAACATCCGGGACTGCCCCCCGAGGTGTGTGCAGTCACTCTTCTCTCCTTGCTACCAGCGTTTCACTTGTTTTAAAATGCACAGTAATTTGGACTGAATAACTCAATCACTAAGGTTTGTTTTATGTGGACTATACTAGGTGCTCAGCTAAGTAGTTTATATGGATCACTTCACAGTCACCTATCAAGTCAATATTGTTCATTTTCCTGTTTAAAACATTTATTTTATTTTATTTTATTTCTTTGGTTATGCTACACCACGTAACGAACCAGGGATTGAACCCAAGTTTCCTGCACTGGAAGCTCAGAGTTTTAACTGCTGGACCTCCAGGAATGTCTCCAGTGTTGTTCATTCTCTATTATACAGTTGGAAAAACACCCCTAGGCCACACAGTTATGAAGGCTAGAATTCAAATTGGGTTAGCCTGATTTCAGAGCTTCTGGTCTTAATTGCCACTCTCACCTGCTCCCTGCACTCACAATGGATCTTAAGAACACAGGGAAGATGACTTCATGGGTTCACCTCAGAGATATGGCAGTAGGCCAGCATCACAAGAGGCACTCGTGGAAAGCACCATTCCTTAGACTCTACCCCCGCGAGTGGTGGTGTTATTCAGTCGCCTGTCATGTCTGACTCTTTGTGATCCCATAGACTGCAGCACGCCAGGCCTCCCTGCCCCTCACCATCTCTCGGAGTTTGCCCAACTTCATGTTCATTGCATTGGTGATGCCATCTAGCATCTCATCCTCTAATGTCCTCTTCTCCTTCTGCCCTACATCTTTGCCAGCATCAAAGACTTTTCCAATGAGTCATCTGTTCTCATCAGGTGACCAAAATGCTGGAGCTTCAGCATTAGTCTCTCCAGTGAATATTCAGGTTGATTTCCCTTAAGATTGACTGGTTTGATATCCTTGCTGTCCAAAGGACTTTCAGGAGTCTTCTCCAGCACCACAGTTCAAAGGCATCACTTCTTTGGTGTTCTGCCTTGTTTGTGGTCCAGCTCTCACAACTCTACATGCCCACTGGGAAAACCACAGTCTTGACTATACGGACCTTTGTTGGCAGAGCAATAATGTCTCTGCTTTTCAACACACTGTCTAGGTTTCTCATCACTTTCCTGGCAAGAAGCAATTGTCTTCTGATTTCATGGCTACAGTCACCAACCACAGTGATTTTGGAGCCCAAGAAGAGGAAATCTGTCACTACTTCCACCTTTTCCCCTTTTATTTGCCATGCAGCAATGCAGCCAGATGCCATGATCTTAGTTTTTTTTACTATTTAGTCTTAAGCTGGCTCTTTCACTCTGCTCCTTCACCCTCATCAAGAGACTCTTTAGTTCCTCTTCACTTTCTGTCATTAGAGTGGTATCATCTGCATCCCCAGGGGTAAAGCCATTAATAACCTTTCGATATCATAGATGACACAAATCAATAGTTTTAAAAGTATCCAAAATCAAACTCATAATCTCCACCAAATCTGATCTGCCCCTAGTTAGTGTTCCAGATCACAATGACTACATCCTAAGCTACCACCCCCCTTTCCTCTCACTTCCATCCATTCCTGTCAGTTTCCCACTGTTCCCAATGTCTTTGTCATTCCTCATAAGGGCCACATCAGGAGCCTCCTGAGTTTTGTCTCCTCTCTAGAGTGCCTTGTCCACTCTATAAGCAGAAACATCTTTTATTTATTTTTTATTGGAGGATAGTTGCTTTACGATATGTTTCTACTGTACAGCAAAGTTAATCAGTCACATGTATACATACATCTCCTTTTTTTTGGATTTCCTTCCCATTTAGTCACCACAGCACGCTGAGTTCCCTGTGCAATACAGTAGCCTTTCCTTAGTTATCTGTTTTATACATAGTAGTGTATATATGTCAATCCCAGTCTCCCAGTTCATCTTCCCAGATGGCGCTAGTGATGAATAATCTGCCTGCCAATGCAGGAGCTGCAGGAGACAGGTTTGATCCCTGGCTTGGGAAGATCCTCTAGGGGAGGAGATAGCAACCCACTCCTGTATTCTTGCTTGGGAAATCCCATGGACAGAGGAGTCTGGTGGGCTATAGCCCATGAGGTTGCAAGAATCAGCCACGTCTGAGCGACCAAACAGCACCAACAAGGAGCACCCAGGTGCCTCCTCCTTTTTTCTTCCCTTTGGTTTCAGTGAGTTGAAATTCACCTTTCCAAAATTTCCGCCTAGCTCTGCTCTCTGAGGGCACACAGCTGATGGCTTCTACCTCCCTGAGGATGACTATCCCACCCCGATGCCATGCTCTCTACACGGTGATTCTGTTGCTTCTGAGTGAAAGGAGATCTGAGAGTATGGCTGGAGTTACTGTGCTGCTGCCCACTCGCAGACATGTGTTGGCCCTGAAACAGTCATACTGCTGCCATGGGCTTTCTCTCTGGAAGGCAGTCCCCATAGGGACCGTCTTACTAAGCTCCTGTAGTTTTTGTTCTTAGGTGGCTCACAGGCACGTGGTCAGAGTGCTCTGTGTCTTGTGGTGAAGGATTCCGCAGTCGGCAAGTGACATGTAAGCGCACAAGAGCCAATGGAACGGTGCAGGCATTGCCGCCGAGAGTGTGCATCCCCAGAGACAGGCCTCTGGGGAGAAGACCCTGTTCCAGTCACCCCTGTGTTCAGGGGCTCGTTGAACAAGGGAACCAGGTAATGCTGACAAATCTAGTGTTTTAAAACCATCCAGTCCCTGTGGTCAAACCCACACATCCAAAAAGGTACTTCCCCTGGCAGTCCGGTGTTAGGACTTTGCCTTCCAATGCAAGGGATGTGGGCTCCATCCCTGGTCGGGGAACTAAGATCCCACATGCCATGAGGCCAAAACATAAAACAAGCAATAGTGTAACAAAACCCCACCCATCAGGGGCCCTCCCCACAGGGGAGAGGAGAGCACAGACTCCTGCAGGACATTCAGGAAACTCATCTGCACAGGGAGCTGACCACACCACCCACCAGCTGGTTCAGGGGACTTACTATCCTATCCTAGACCTCCCGGTCATAATTAACAAAGGCTGCAGAGATCAAAAGTTCCCCTTGGCCCTTCTGAAAATGTTCAGTATTGTCAGTGTGGGAGAATAATACTNGGTGCCGCTGGTGTCTTGGGTGCTGCTCTTGCCGTGTCACTGGTGCTCCTCTTGCCGTGGGTGCCGCTCTTGCTGCGGGTGTCATGGGTGCTTTTGGTGTCTTGGGTGCTGCTCTTCCCGCGAATGTCCCGGGTGCCGCTGGTGTTCTGCACTGTCACCTCCAAGTCCTCTTCACAGAGTGGCTGGAGTGGCTCCTTCTCATCCATCTTGACCCATGGATGCTGCTGAAGAGGGGCTAAAATAGCTCTGGTTGTCGGGTCGAGGGTCAGCATGCTTGCTATTAATGTTCCCACTTCATAGGATAGGTCGTTGGGCACATGATAATGCCCTGTGAGCACACTCTGCTTCATCTCCCAGTAATCTCATCCTTGGAAGGGTTCAAACCCAGTCACCATGATGTACAGGGCGAAGCCAAAGCTCCACACATCCATGGGCGGGCCTAGGTACATGCACCCCTGGAAGATCTCAGAGGCTGCGAAGGCAGGGTTGTCACACAATGTACGTAGCCTCTCTTCAGGGCGGTAATAGTAGCTCAGACCAAAGTCTGCAGTCTTCACATTGTGGTCTGCATCAAGGAGCAAGTTGCTTGGTTTCAGGTCCTGGTGCACGATGCCCTGCTCGTGGCAGTGGTTCAGGGCCTAAAGGAGCTGCCGGAAGAGGCGTTGGGCCTCCTGCTCCGTCATGTGGCCCTGGTCATCCAGGTAGGCTTGCATGTCTCCCCCGCTCACGTATTCCATTACCGTGATAGTAGATGTCTCAGGTGCCGCTGGTGTCCCAGGTGCCGCTCTTGCCTTAGGTGTCACGGGTGCTGCTGGAGTCTCGGGTGCTGCTCTTGTCCTGGGTGCCGCAGGTGTCTCGTGTGATGCTCTTGTCCCGAGTGATGCTGGTGTTCAGGTGCCGCTCTTACCATGGGTGCTGCTCTTGTCCTGGGTGCCGCAGGTGTCTCGTGTGATGCTCTTGTCCCGAGTGATGCTGGTGTTCAGGTGCCGCTCTTACCATGGGTGCTGCTCTTGCCTTGGCTGTCATGGGTGCCACCGGTGTCTTGGGTGCTACTCTTGCCACGAGTATCATGGGTGCCACTGGTGTCTTGGGTGCAGCTCTTGTTCCGGGTGCTGCTTGCATGTCTTCCCCGCTCATGTATTCCATGAACATAATGGTAGAATCTTCCATGTTAATGACACTGAAGACTTTCACTATATTTTTATGGTCTAACAGCTTCATATTTTCCTTCTCACACAAGAATCCTAGGACATAGTCCTAGGCTCTTGCCGTGGGTATCATGAGTGCCGCTGGTGTCTCGGGTGCTGCTACTGTCTCAGGTGCTGCTCTTGTCCTGGGTGCCACTGGTGTCTCAGGTGCTGCTCTTGCCGCGGGTGTCACGGGTGCTCCTGGTGTCTCAGGTGCTAGTCTTGCTGCAAGTGTCATGGGTGCCGCTGGTGTCCCATGTGCTGCTGGTATCCCGGGTACCGCACTTGTCCCAGGTGCCACTGGTGTCTCGGGTGTGGCTCTTGTCCCTGTTGCCACTTGCATGTCTCCCCTGCTCATGTATTCAATGACTGTGATGGTAGAATCTTCCGCGTCAGTGACATTGAGGACTTTCACTATATTTTTATGGTCTAACAGTTTCATATTTTCCCTCTCACTCAAGGACCCTAGGACGTAGTCCTAGGCTCTTGCCATGGGTATCATGAGTGCCGCTGGTATCTTGGGCGCTGCTCTTTCCACAAGTGTCTCGGGTGCTGCTCTTGTCCCAGGTGCCACTGGTGTCTCGGGTGCTGCTCTTGCCACGAGTGTCTCAGGTGCCACTGTTGTCTCGGGTACCGCGGGTGTCACGGGTGCTTTTGGTGTTTTGGGTGCTGTTCTTCCCAAGAGTGTCATGGGTGCTGCTGGTGTTCTGGACTGTCACCTCCAAGCCATCTTCTGACTGGCTGGAGTGGCTTCTTCTCATCCATCTTGACCCATAGATGCTGCCAAACATGGGGTAAAGGAGCTCTGGTTGTCGGGTCGAGGGTCAGCATGCTTGCTATTAACGTTGCATGCTTGCTATTAACGATGATTGCTAGACCATCGGGCACATGATAATGCCCTGTGAGCACACTCTGCTTCATCTCCTGGTAGTCTCGTCCTTGGAAGGGTTCAAACCCAGTCACCATGATGTACAGGATAACACCAAGGCTCCACACATCCACAGGCAGGCCTAAGTACATCAACTCCAGGAAGATCTCAGGGGCTGCGAAGGCAGGGGTGCTGCAGAATGTACCTAACTTCTCTCCAGGGCAGTAATCGTAGTTCAGACTGAAGTCTGCAGTCTTCACATTGTGGTCCACATCAAGGAACAAGTTGCTTGGTTTCAGGTCCCAGTGTACGATGCCCCGCTCGTGGCAGTGGTTCAGGGCTGATAGGAGCTGCCGTAAAAGGCATTGGGCCTCCTGCTCCGTCATGTGGCCCTGGTCATCCAAGTAGGCTTGCATGTCTCCCCCGCTCACGTATTCCATCACCGTGATGGTAGAGTCTTCCGTGTCAATAACATTGAGGACTTTCACTGTGTTTTCATGGTCTAACAGCTGCATATGTCTCCTCTCACACAAGAACCCTAGGACGAGTGGAATTTCAGTTTGCTTTTATTACCTTAAGGGCCACCTCGGTCCCAGCCCCAACATGCCGGATCAACAGAACTGTATCATGCCATACTTCTCCAATAGTGTAGACAATTTCATAATTCTCTATTTGAGCTCATTTATTTGAACACCTGGCCATTAGGTCCTGCATGGTGGTAAACCCTAACTACTGTACCAGTTAACTGCTCTACCAGCTAACTACTCTATGCCAACTAAAGAAACAAATGCTATCTATGCCAACTAAACTAACGAATGCTAACTATGACAACTATACTAGCAACAAAACTATGCCAACTATACTAACGCTAACTATGCCAACTCTACTAACATTGCTAACTATGTCACACACACTAACAGTGCTAACTATGCTAATACTACCTATACTAACTATGCTAATAAACAATTAACTATACCAAATATGCTCACTGTACCAATGATACTAACTATACTAACAGCACTAACTAAAAAAATAAAAAGATAAAATGTGAATAAGAATTAAGGGGGGGAAATGGGAAAAAGCAAAATAAGAAAATGATATAAAGAAAAACTCTACAAATGAGGAAAACTAAAAAAAAGGAAAAGAGAAGTAGAACTAAGGCGGGGGGGACAAAAACAAAAAAGGGAAAAAACAAAATGAAGGAAAAAAGAAAAAGAAACTTTAAATGAGAAACACTAAAATTAAAAAATGAGGAAAAGAACTAAGGGGGAAAAAACAGAAAATGATGGAAAACACAAAATGAAAGAAAAAAGGAATTTTTTTTAATTAAGAAAAGGAAAAGAAAAATTAGAAAAATAAAAAAGAGGAGAGGGAAAAAAAGGAAAAATAAAATCAACAGAATGGCAAAAACACAGGAAAAAAAAACACGCTAACTGGGGGTCCAGTTGTCAGGTCACCAGTATCAGCTTCCTGGGCTCTAAGGACCAAAAACCTGGGGCCAGCTGGGCTCTTATATAAGGTTTTTAGTGAGTTTCATCACAGTTGTGCCCTGTGAGGACAGAGCAGGAAACAGACCAATCATGGCTGAGGATAAATCCTAATGGTTTTCTCCCTTTTCAGGTTCAAGGCCCCTTTACACTTAGGAAAAAGGATCCTAAAGAGATTTTTCTTTATATGTGCTATGAGAGACTGGTATTCACTTTCTTAGAAATTGAAAGCTGTAAAATTCTTCAGCAGCCTTCCCATGTCTAGTTTGAAAATCAGTAATGATGTTAAGGACCTCATAACATCTACACTTGCAATATTCAATTCCTTTTCCTTAAACTCTGGTCTCAAAATAAAGTGACCATTTAAATGAACTTGACTATACTATCAGAAACTGTCCTGTTGCATGTGACACTCATAGGCACATAGTTAATGTCTGCAAAGCTGAGAGATTTTCTGGGAGGATCATGAACAGATTTCTCATTGGGAGCCTCAGAGGCCAGATGACATGGGTCAGTGTATTTGAAGTGTTGAAGGGAAAGAAGCTGTCAACCAAGAATCCTATGTGTAGCAAAACTGTCCTTCAAAAATGAAGGAGAAATTAAGACATGCCCAGTTTGTAAGAGTTGAGGGAGTTCTGCCTCAGCACGGAGTCCTTCAGGTTGGAGTGCAGGATTTTTGACAGTAACTCAAAGCCTTATGAAGAGATAAAGATCTCCAGTAAAAATAGATAGATGGGTGACTAGAAAAGCTCATGCTACACTGCTATAATTAAAACAGATAACCAGCAAGGTCCTACTACGTAGCACAGGGAACTCTGCTCAATGCTCTATGTCAGCCTGGATGGGAGGGGAGTTTGGGGGAGAATGGATACAGGTATATGTATGGTTGAGCCCCTTTGCTGTCCCCCTGAAACTATCACAACATTGTTAATCAGCTATACTCCAGTATAAAATCAGAAGTTTAAAAAAATGAAAAGCTAGTACTATTGTAACTTTGGTTTGTAGCTCTACTTTTTGTTTTCAATTTGATTTGAGACTACTTTGTAATAAACATTCACACACAAAAATCATCATCTGTTTCTAATACTTTTTTTTTTTACTTTGGGATAAAAATTCTGATTGGTCTCTAAAAATGAATGTATGTGCCTGACTTCAAGGATAGCATTTGGAAACTGCAGTGTCTTTGTCCTCCAATATGAAGGTAAACCAGGGTCAGGTCCCTTTGAATGCAGCAGCTCAGTAACAGAAGCTACAAGATAGACTGATGTGAGGCAATAGCAATGAGAGCAGGCTTCAGGAAAGGAGCTGGGGACCACTATCAATAGATGCACAAAAGTCTCAGAACCTCCTATTTCAAATGCCACCTCAAATAATATGGTAAAAAAGAAAATCTACACAAATTTTTAAAATAATGTGTAGGACCCTGTATTAGTAGTAGTCTGTGTAGTGTTAGTCACTAGTGCCACCTGGGAAGCCCCAGTTGCCTTCAGAGCACCATAAAAGAAAAGCTCACACTGGATCCCTTAAACAGCAGAAATTAATTTTCTTCACAACTCTAGAGGCTAGAAGTCCAAAATCAAGGTGTTGTTAGAGCTGGTTTCAGTCATATTTCCTTTACTGGCTTGTAGACATCCCTCTTCCAACACTGTTGCTGTTGTTTAGTCGCAAGTTGTATTCAACTCTTTTGCAACCCCATGCACAGGACTGTAGCCCGCCATGATCCTCTGTCTCCATCCTCACATGACCTCTTCTCTGTGTTCACACAGAAGGAGAGGGTTCTGGGTGTCTCTTCCTCTTCTTATAAGGACACTTCCTATCATATTAAGACCCCACCATTTGGCAAGTTATGCTAGGGAGGCCAGAGGTCCCCAAGTGGCAGGAGGAAATGAATGGCAAGCAGTAGACCTTTATTCCTACATTCCTTTGCTCTCGCGTTAGTCATGTGAGTAGGAGGCTCCTTTTAATCCTGTATTGCTTTGATGACAATGGTACCTGTTTCCCAAAGCTTGAGCTGCTAATTGCCCAAAGAAACAATATATCTTACTCATGAAAAAGTTTTCCTTAAGCTATGTTAATGAAACTATGTGTTTGTTTGGAGGTCTGTTTTCCTTCAAGACTTACATCAATTGTTTTGTGGATACAATATATCTCACCCAGAGACATCTAGTCTGGAGAGGACCCCCTTGTGCAGATATCTATGCTATGGGAGAGAAACCTGGTGCAACTCTCTCAACCTTGAAGTGTTTCTTCTATGATCTTGCTAACAGGTAATAAGATGCTTTGCTAAAAACTGGCAAGGGGCTATCTTTTCTGCCCCCTTCTGCTGTCTATTGTCAGAAGTTTTGTCTATCCTTTTTGTGCTTTAATAAAACTTTGCTACACAAAAGCTCCGAGTGATCAAGCCTCATCTCTGGCCCCAGATTGAAATACTCTCATCTGGAGGCCAAGAATTCTGGTGTCGTTCTTGGCTCACAACCACAACCTTTCATCTTGGGGGCTCTCCCAGGATGTTCAGGACATGGTAAAGACATTCAGAGCTCTAGTTCTTTGGTTCTCCTAGTAAACATGTTTTGTACTTTACTAACACAGTGTGCCTGTCTGTGTGAATGCTATATGGAAGAGATGCACAAACAAGTGTGAAGCAAGAGTTGAGACTGGCTTTGTGGTTCCATGGTGCCTCGTAATGACTGAAGGTAGCCCCAAAACGAGCCAGTCAGGGGTTTATACTGACCTGCCAATGCCAAGAGCCATCTGACGTCCCTGCGAGGGGAGCAGCCAGAAATGGGTGAAACGCGTGGACTGAACTTTTCTTTCTCAGTCAACTTTTCCTGGCCTCTTTGACCATTTTGTAACTGCCTGGGAAATTGAAACTACTAACCTAATCTAATAATAGACTTTCAAGGGACTTGTGATCCATGCTGTTACTGTGTACTTTGACTTAGACCCCAAGTTTGGATTGATAGTCATGAAGCACCTAGCCTTTCTAGGAGCCGAAAGTTACCTTGGTTGTATTCTCATGCACTGCAGACAGGAGCACAGTTTGGAGCTAGGTGGAGCTCTAGCTCCACGAACGTCTCTCAGGCTAGAGGTTGCTCTCAGTTGCCTGCCTCAGGGGCCAGCAACCTGAAAGTGAGTGCTTGTCACAGCTGTGCCTCCTGTCTACATGGATTAGAGGCACTGCTGGCGATCATGAGGTTTCCGAGGACACAGCATGGAAATTCTAGGATCTGGTCAGATTGGAAGTGCAATGGGCTTCCTCCTTTGGTAACACTAGCTCTTAGCGGACTAGAGGAGGCTCCCCAGTGACTTTTGTCTCAACTTCTTAGATGTTCTTCCTGTGGAATCTGTGGAAATGAGCTGAAAGGATTGGCCCTGATAGCTAGAAGACATAAATCACTTTTTCCTCTCTGGCTGGCCCTTCACCACCTCTTTCACTATGCCATATACTGGTGTTGTGACACTCTGAAGGGACATTTTGGGTTTTATGTTTGTCCCTTTATGGTTTAACAGTTTTATTGTGGTCAGGAATATATTCAGGACTGTGCATAAGGCACCCAGGAGACGAATGTTTCCTCTAGTTGTCTTAGCTTGGGAAGCATTCTGGAAGTGAGAGGGTAACAGGCAGGAAGACCAGGGGTCTCCAAACGGAGGAAATAGGCTGCAAGTGCCAGATATTTTTATCTCTCTTAAGCGGCAGGAGGAAACAAACCAGCGATATGTTTTTCCTTCTCTATACAAATTTAAAAGGAGGTTTCTCTTAAAATGCTGTGTTGCCATGACACCTGGTCTCACCTGAAGCTAACTACTCTCAAACCTTGAGTTAACCAATACATTTCTTCTTCTTATGGAAATGTTGTCTTAAGCTATGTTAATGTACCCCAGACTCTATCTTCAAGTTGGTTCTGCCAAACGGCCTAACTTACTTACTCAAGATATTGTTCCCTAATCTATGTAAAGGAAACTATTTATTGGTAATCTGCCCTTCTACAAGATTCAAGTCAATGGTTCTATGGCCAGGGATGAATTATCTGGTGCCATTCTAAATTTTATG